GAAAGCTACATGCCAGCCTGCGATATGTAGATGTCACAACTTTGCTGAAATCGAATAGGACTTGAGCCACTTACTACTGCCAATAAAAGAATGCTGCCTTCCTCATGTATTGGGCCTGAATATAATGAAAGAAATCGTCTCAGCTGCACGAACAAGCAACATCATGATGGATGGAGGGAAAAGGAGGTTCTCAAGTATTATGTTTACTTGGACCCACAATCAACACTCATGGAAACCGCAGTCAAGAAGTCAAACAGCATGTTTCATTGGGTACATCAGCTGCACAAGATCCTTTTAAATTTTAAAGAGCTAACCTATCACTTGGAGGACTAGCATTTGCTTGACCCAAGTCATGGTACTCATAGTTGGCTCATGTGCATGTGAAAGCTGAAAAATTAATAGCAAAGACCAGAGAAGAATGGATGGACATATTCGAATTATGATGTTGGTGAAAAACATTGAATATACTATATACTGCCAGCAACGAAGAAATCTGTTGTAGAAGTATAACCAGAATAATCCTTAGAAGACTTCATCCGTGATCATTGGGCATGTTATCAGAAGAATCCCTGGAGAAGTACCTAACGCTTGGAAACCTAGAGGGTCTCCAAAAGATAGAGTTGTTCAACAAGATGCCTTGGCACAGTGGCTGCAATAATCCTCGTGAAGATGGCACAGGACAGGGCGGTGCTGTGTTCTTTTGAATAAAATCGTGTTGTTACGAGTTGGTACCAAGTCTATGACACTTAAAAACAACAATAATCCCTAAACTATAAATCAACATCTACCAACTTTGAAAAAAATAAAGATAAGGAGAGAAAATTGATTAGCCGATACAAATACACATGTACTAATTAAGAAATAAAGTATACATAACATCTATGATTCTCATTTCTTTCAAGAGACATGAGCCATCATTGATATTTATAATGTTTACCTTGCATAGTCTCCTTGGGACAACTCAAACCTTTATTTATTTTTAAATCATTTTATTGGGGGCTTTTCACTCTTTTCACAACCCATACGTACATCCATTGTGTCAAGTACATTTGTACATTTGTTGCCATCATCATTTTCAGAACATTTTCTTTCCACTTGAGCCCTTGGTATCAGCTTCTCATTTCCCCCCTCCCTCCCTAACCTTCCTCCCTCCCTCCCTCCCTCCCTCATGAGCCCTTGATAATTTATGATTTTTTTTTTCATGTCTTACACTGACCAAAGTTTCCCTTCACCCACTTTTCTGCTGTCCATCCCCCGGGGAGGGGGGTTATGTATAGATCATTGTGATTGGCTCCCCCTTTCTCCCCCCACCTTCCCCTTACTTTTCTGGTATGGCTACTCTCAATATTGGTCCTGAGGGGTTTATCTGTCCTGGATTCCCTGTGTTTTCAGCTCTTATCTGTACCCATGTACATGCTCTAGTCTAGGCAGATTTGTAAAGTAGAATTGGGGCAATGATAGTAAGTGGGAGAAAACATTAAAGAATTAGAGGAAAATTGTATGTTTCATCGGTGCTATACTGCACCCTGACTGGCTCCTCTCCTCCCTATGAACCATCTGTAAGGGGATTTTCAGTTGCCTACAGATGGGCTGTGGGTCTCTATGCCACACTCTACCTCATTTACAATTATATGAATTTTTGTTCTGGGTTTTTAATGCCTGATACCTGATCCTATCGACGCCTCGTGATCACACAAGCTGGTGTGCTTCTTCCATGTGGACTTTGTTGCTTCTCAGCTAGATGGCGGCTTGTTTATCTTCAAGCCTTTAAGACCCCAAATGCTATATCTTTTGATAGCTGGGCGCCATCAGCTTTCTTCACCACATTGTCTTATGCACCCGCATTGTCTTCAGTGATCATGTCAGGAAGGTGAGCATCGTGGAATGTCAGGTTATTAGAACAAAGTGTTCTTGCATTGAGGGAGTACTTCTTGAGTAGAGCCCCAATGTCCATCTGCTACGTTAATACTAAACCTATAAATGTACATATATTTTCTCATTGTCATATATAAATATATTTACATCATTTATAAATATATTTACATATGTACATGCCTGTATTTAGACTTCTATAAATGCCTTTTGCCTTCTAGTTCTTTCCTCTATTTCCTTTTACTTTCCTCTTGTCCCATATCATGTTCAGCCTTCATTTGGGTTTCAGTAATTCCTCTCAGTTACATTGTCCTTGATCAAGCCCTACCAGGCCTCTTACACCCTCCTTGCCATTGATTTTTCCATCACTTGTTGTTCCCTTGTCCCTGGGTTTGTTAACACCCACTTCCTTTCCCCCACTTCCCCCTCTCCTTTGACCCCCAGAACCATTGGTCCCATTGTTTTCATTTTCACCTCCACATTCTTTTTCTTGCCTATCTTATCTAGATACACCTGCAGAGATAATAATATGCACAAAAAGAAGACATAGCCAAAAAAAGCAACAAAATAAAACAAAACAAAGCAGAACAACAACAACAACAACAAAACCAATGACAAAAATAAAGAAAAGCCTATAAATAATTCAAGATCTGTTTATTGAACTTTACAAGTGTTTTCTGGTCAAGTCTGATGGGGTGCCATGCCATGGCCCCTCAGTCATTTTTTATATTCCCCAGGTACTTCATTGCTCTGCTCCCCTGGCTGTTCTGTTGCATGCCCTTAGTATTTCACCTCTGTGTGGTGGGGTCAGATTATGCACAATTCCCGTACTGTGTCTCCAGTGTGTTCCCCATAGTGCTATGGGTCAGTGAGGGATGTCGTGCCTCATGGTGCATCCAGGCCTTGGGTCCTCTCTATGCATTGGCTGCTCTGGACAGGAATATCATCCTCAGGGCTTGGTGGGTCAGGATGTGCTCCACTCTATCTCCCTCCCCCTCTGCTTGCTCCTGTGTGCTCTGATCAGGTGCTCCTAGTTAGGAGATAGAAGCACTAAACACTTTATTATGCCAAATGACGGAGATATCCTATGAAACCATGCTCCAAAATCAAAAATAAGAAACCCATGTGCGGATGATTCCACAACTTGAAAACTGTTCACTATCACTTAATTGTATGTGGAAAATGGTTAAATCGCTGTGTGTTTGCTGTATATATTCTCAACAGAATTTTAACCCCTTCCCGCAAAAAAGTTTTGTTTAATAATACACATGATTCTTTTATTTTTTTTCCTTTTAATCATTTTATTAGGGGCTCATACAACTCTTATCACAATCCATGCACACATCAATTGTGTAAAGCGCATTTGTACATTCATTGCCCTCATCATTCTCAACACGTTTCCTCTCCACTTAAACCCCCGGCATTAGGTCCTCATTTTTCCCCTCCGTCCCCGCTTCTCCCTCCCTCATGAGCCCTTGATAGTTTATAAATTGATATTTTGTCATATCTTGCCCTGTCCGACGTCTCCCTTCACCCACTTTTCGGTTGTCTGTCCCCCAGGGAGGAGGTCACATATAGTGC